GGCAGACTCGGAGTTAAACGATAGTTATGGTGCTATATGATGAGCAGACTGAACAAAAGCTGCATGGAGGGTTCCGGAAGGGTTGGAGAAAGTGAGAAGAGAAGGTGTAAAAAGATGGAGGGCTGGGAGCCCCCAGAGGGCAGGCTGTGGAGCTGCCCTGGTGTGTTTGGGGAGCACTGGGGAGTCGGTGTGCCTGGGGTAAGCATGGAAGCAGAGTGAGGGCATCTAACATATATCTGTTTGGAGTTCCAGAAGAGTTAATATTTCAAAAGATAATGACTGAGGGCTTTCAAGAATTGGGGGAAGATGCTGCTTCTCACATCCAGGAGGCCCAGTGAATCATAAGCAAGATAATTAAAAGAAATCCCCACCTAGACACATCATCAGGAACTGCAGAACACCACAGAAAGAGAATACCTTAAATAAACCTACAGAGAACGGGCCATCATTACAACAGAATGGCAATTAAACTGACAGCTGACTTAACAACAACAGTAGATGCAGGGGACAGTGGAATCGCTTCTTAAATGCACTGAAAGAAAATACCGGCAACCTAGAAATCCGTTCCTAGCAAAATCATCTTTTTTCCAAGAACGATGATGAAAAAAAGGTATTTTAAATTTGGAAACATCAACACCAAAACCTGTCAACCTCCACAATTCTGTATCCAGCGAAGGTATTCTTCAAGAGCGAATGTGAAATGCTGGGCGTCTCCTAGTCACTGAGCACTAAGAGAATGTGTTGCCAGCACGCCTGAATGACAGAAATGTTAAGAGAAGTTCTTCAGGCACATGGGGAGAGAAAACCAGCTGGAAAAAAAACTCAGATCTTCAGAACAGGATGAAGATCACTGGAAATGGTAGAAAACCTAGAAATAGGCATTGTCCTATAATTGTGAAATAAATGGAATAATGTGGGAGAATATTTAAAAAGTGGTAAGAACATAAGATTTGAGCAGCACAATTCATAAGCTTGTGAATTTGTTGTTTCCAGCAGTTGGAGAATACACATTCTTTGCAATCACATGCAGAATGCTTGCAAAAAATTGACCATGTACTAGACAAAAAAGCTAGTCAACAAATTTCAAAAATGTTCACATAGAACACATTTTCTGATCACAATACTCTTAAGTTAAAAATCAGTAACAAAAAATAAGTAGAAAAACTCATACACTTGAAATTTTAAAACATTTCTAAATTCTTGAGTCAAAAAATTATAATGAAAATTAGAAATATTTAGAACCAAGTAATATAAATATTTTTATATCATAATTTATGGGAAAATTGAAGCAATAGTAAGAGAAATTTATAGCTTTAAGTGTTCACATCAGCAAAGAAAGAAGGCAGAGAATTAATAGGGTTAGAATAGCATTATACCCACATAAAGTGGAAGGAAAGAAAGAATAAGGATAAAATAGAAATTAATGAAATAGAACATAAATACATAATTATATCCACAAAGACAGAAGTCAGTCATTGAAAAGAGTAATAAAATAGACAAATCTGTGGCAAGATTAATTTTAAAAACATAAGGAGGAAAGGCACAAACAGTATTAGAAAAGGAAAAAACACAGCTGCAGGCACTTCTAAGATTTAATGTTGAGTGAGAGGCTATTTGGTCAATTCAGTGCTTACAAACCCAAAAACTTAGATAAAATCGGTAAAATAAGAAAGTTAGCAAAGCTGACTCATGAATAGTAGAAAACCTACAAATAGGGATAGTCCTATAATCATGAAAGAAATGGAATCAGTACTTAAAAATCCTCCCCTCCCCCAAGTTCACCCAGAGGGCTTTCCTGGCAACTGCTACCAACATTCAAGAAACAATTCCAGGGTTATACAGACTCCTTCAGCGGATAGGAAAACAGGGAACATTCCTACTCATTTCATGAAGACTAGCATAACCTTAACACCAATATCTGACAAAGACAGTACAGTGTGAGAACGAACAGGCCAGTCTCACCTGTGACTAGAAATACAAAAATCTAAGTAAAGAAACAACTGCAAAACCAGGAAAATATAAAAAAAGATGTAGTACATCATGAGAAACTTTGTTTGCAAGGACCAAGTCAGAAAATTTATTAATGTACCATATTAATAGGTTAAAAGAGAAAAATCATGTGATCATCGTAATAGAGGCAGAAACAGTTGGATAAAGTTCATTAGCCATTCATTGCAAAATTCCTAGCAAACCTGGAATATTGGAGAGCTTCTATAACCTGATGAAGGGCTTCTGAAAATAGCCTGTGGCTAATACTGTACTTGATGGCAAAATGTTGAAGATTGATCCTGGAGGATCGAGAGTAAGACAAGGATACTGATTTAGCAGCACTCCTGCTTTCTGTTGTAGCGGGCAGTCCTAGCCAGTGCAGTAAGACAGGAAAAAGAGAAAGTATAAAGGACTACTAGAAAGAAGAAACTAAACAGTCATCATTTGTAGGTGATGATCATGTACGTAGAATATAAAAAAATTTCTAGATAAATTATTAGAATTAAGAGTTATTAGAGGAGACCAAGGTGGGATCGCTTGAGGTCAGGAGTTCAAGACCAGCCTGAGCAAGAGTGAGACCCCGTCTCTACTAAAAATAGAACAAATTAGCCGGGTGCAGTGGCGAGCACCTGTAGTCCCAGCTACTTGGGAGGCTGAGGCAGGAGGGTCACTGGAGTCCAGGAATTTGAGGTTGCTGTGAGCTAGACTGATGCCAAGGCACTCTAGCCCGGGTGACAGAGTGAGCCTGCCTTAAAAAAAAAAAAAAAAGCACTTGTAAAAAAAGAAGTTATTAGAATCAATAATTAGAGTGACTTCCAATTATTAGAATTAAGAGTATGCATTTTGTTCTTCAGCTGTGAGAATAAAAAAAGTTTAGCAAGATTGTTGGATATAAAAACAGTATACAAAATTAAATTGTTTTTCTGGGTAAAAATAAATAGATAATGGAAATTTTAAAAGATAACAGTCCCTAGGAGTAAATCTTACAAAAGTTATACAAATTCCTTATGGAGATAAAGGATAAAATAAAAAAGATTAAACTTCACTGAGAGCTATTAAAGAAGACTTGGGTAAATGCAGAGATATCATGGGGTTTTGGTTTGGAAGACTTGCTATTATGATAACACTTCTCCATGAATTGATCTGGGATTCAGTGTAATTCTGGTCAAAATCCCAATAAGGTTTTACTTTTCTTGTTTTTATTATTATTTTTTAACTTGGTAAGATGATTTTAAGATGACTGCGGAAGAGCAGAGGACCAAGAGTAGCCAAAACAAGATTGGGGTCTGCTGCACCAGGGATCCAGGGTGAGCGTGGTGTCTGTGAGGATAAGCAACTAGGTGAGTAGGTGAGCGTAGCGAGTGGGGAGCCCGGCAGCAAACCCAGGAAGACTGGACTTTTGACACTGCACACGGTGCTGCGGGAAACGGGCTCTCGGCCACACTGCGGGGTGGGGTCGGTAAGGAAAGGGGAACCCTAAAGGAAGGTGAACAAAAGACTTGAATAGGCACCTGACCGGAGAGGAATCGTGAATGGCTCATGAGTGTAAGGAAAGATGCCCAGCGTCATTAAGGAACAAGGAAATGCAAATCAAAACCACAGAATGATAACTTCACGTCCACAAGATTGGCACCAATGGGAAAGTAAGATGATACTAAGTATCAGAGAGGTTGTGGGGCAACTCCTGGGGCAACAGGACTCGCCTGCCCTGCTGGAGGCAATCTACAACTGGTAGGACCATTGTGAAAACAGTTTTGGCTTTACTCTGTGAAGGTGAAGGTACCTGTGACCCAAAAATTCTCGTGTATACGTGTGAACGAGGGAATGTGAACACAAACAAGCAGCAAAACCAAACCAAACCAGTGTCCTTCAACTGAGTAACCATGACTTTTTTCCCCATAGAATGGAAAACTGTATAGAAAAATGAAAACTTCAGCTACACCTCGATACAGATGAATGTCTCAAATAAATTTGGAGTGAACAAAGCCAGTCACAAAAGAATGTGTACAGTATATTTCTATGTATATAACATTCAGAAAATAGGCACAACTAATCAATATGTTGTTTAAAGGCATCCCTTCATGGCAAACTAGAGGGAAAGGCAGGAGATTGGCTGATACACAACTCACAGTTGCGGGGCGGTGGGGGACACTGGGGAGGCACTTTCTGGTCCCTGAGAGGCGGCAGTGGCATTTGAACGTTTGCTGTGGTGTTCCACCGGAAGGAAGGAGATGTGTGTTCTATATGTGCTCATACAGTACATACACAAGTACGCGAGTATCTACACGTGACAGAAAGATGACTATAGCAGGGTTGAGCTTAACATTGGGTGCACTCAAGAATTTTCTTTCTTTTTTTTACCGTGCACCGTTCCTGGAGGTACTGCAATGCCAGGTCCATGTGTGGAGTGGATGGAGCAAGCTCCTAATTCCACCTCTCTACTGCAGAAATTAAAAAAAAAAAAAAAGTTGTGACCTACCAAATTGATTTTGTCACAGTTTGAAAAAATGTTTTATTGCTTAAGCTGGGTGGTAAGTACGTAACTATTTGTTTTATTATTCCGCTTTTATACGGGCCTCATCCATGTTACTCATACTTCTGGCAGAAAGCAGAAACCACTCAAAGCAAGTGGAGAGGGTGCTGGGCCGGGCTCAGTGGGAGACAGCCTTGCTTCGGGTCGTCCACCGAAGAGGAGCTTAGTTCAGGGAGTCCTTTGCAAGTCCCTGTGTGTGCAGCAGGGGCTTGGAGAGGGCTGCTCTTGGCTGTTTCCTCTCTGCTCCCTGCGGTGGGGGGGGTTGTCCTGGACGGGCCTGGCCCTGCACTCTTCCTTCCCAAGGTGGTTGTCCTGGGCTGCAGCTCTGGCCAGCTTTGCGGGCGTGGGACAGCACCCTTTGGGTGGCTGCCTCACCTGGCACAGACCGTGGTGTGGACCGCAGCATCCTTTCCCTTCTCACCCCAGCTGCCCAGACCTTCCGTGGGCATTTCTGAGTCCTGACTCCGCCTTCCTACAGGTGCCAAGCCAGCGGCCTCTGTCGACCCATGGGGTGTGCCTGCCGGAGCCAGCACGCACTCTGTCCCTAAGAGCTCAGACCCCTGGGCCGCTTCACAGCAGCCCACCCCCAGCGCTGGGAAGACAACTTCTGACACCTGGGGTGCGGTCTCGGCCACCAAGCCAGTGTCTGCCTCTGGTGAGAGCCTCACTCACTTTCCTGCCTGGGCTGTGAGAGCCCCTGGCCCCCACGGGCGTTCCTGTCTCCTGCCTCATTGGCATTGGGCCTGTCGCTCTGCTTGCATTTGCTCCCCTTCCCTGCTTAGCCTTTGTCCAAGATCCCCAGGTCCCCAGATCCTAGGCATCTCCTTCCCCAGGGGCCTCCCCGAGTGGGTGTTGAGAGAGGAGGCTGCTTTGGGCCCACAGCCCAGGGGTCCTGTCCTCACCCTGGTGGCCCCGGGCAGGCTGGCCCCCAGCCACTTCTTTGGGTGACGCCCAGAGCCCCTGATCCTCACGTCCAGACCCAGCACCACGGATCTTCACCGTCACCTCCTCCTCTTCGGGGTGGGAGCAGTGGACGCAGCGGCAGGTGGGCACCCCACACTGTGCACTGGGTAACCTGAGCTCGTCCTGCCTTCTCTGGCTCTTGGAGTTCTCCCCTGTGAGGTGTGGTAGGAGGGGGAGGCCCCCATTGCCAGCCCGCCCCCAAGGTGTGCACTGGGCAGCTGAGTTGCCGAGAAGTGTGTGCCCTGCGCCTGCAGTCACTGACATCTGTGTCCACCCAGGGTCCTTTGAGCTCTTCAGTAATCTGAATGGTACAATTAAAGATGACTTTTCTGAATTTGACAACCTCCGAACTTCAAAAAAAACAGGTATGTAAAGGTGGTGGTGGTTTCTGTAATATTCTATGCATTTGACTAACTCAGCTGTAGTAGAAATAATCAGCTTTCAAAACCCATCGGCTTCGTGCATTTTCTTATTTTGATCCTGGGACCCTGAAGCTTCTAATTACAGAAATTCACACATTGACAGTGAAAAGTCAAGAGGTTGAGTTTTTCTTTCAACTTTTCCTCATGTTGAGCCCCATGTTTTGTGTCTCATAACCTCTGCGTCTGTGCCTGCTCTCCGCGGGGCCATGTCTCCGGGTCAGGAACCCCCCGTTGCTGCCTGCAGATGCCAGCACCTTGGCCTCCCCAGCCCAGCGTGGACCCCACTCCCAGCCTGGTCTGGCATTTCCATTCACCTTCCTCTCACCAACCTCCCACTCCCAGAGGCGCCTCCTTTTCCCAGACAGCCCTGCCTTTGCGGATGGACGGGTCAGTCTCTGCCCCACACCATCACCCCAGGTGACCAGGTGATAGCTCCTGGATCCACAGTTCAGTCTCCAGACCCGGCTTCCTTCCATGTGTGCCCTTGGGCTGGGAGGATGTCGGGTGGGCCCAGAGAGATGGGACCTGAGGCGGAGGTGGGCCTGGAGGGGAAGAGGGAGGAGGCCTGGGATGTGTTCTTCACATGCTCCTGTGTGGACCACCACCTCCAACCCTCTCAGCTTGGGCTCCTAGCCAGGAGACCAAGGCAGCTTTGACCACGTGCTGGTCTTCAGGGTCTTTCTTTTGCTGCATTAAAAAAAAAGATTCCACGTGTTTCCTCTGCAGGCCAAAGCACAACCTAACCTGTCTTGCCCGCCCTCTGTGCCTTGGTGAGAAGGCAGCTTGGCCATTGTTATGTGTTGACTTTTTAAATATTTATCCCCAATTATAGAAATATTCCCACTGTGTAGAAAGTTTGGAATTGTACAGTTTGGAATTTCTAAATTGTAGAAAATTTGGAAAAATTTATGAAAGAATACGAAAACTATCCATCATCCTTCCACTTATATTCAGCCGTTATATTCTTTCCAGTATTTTTTCCTGAGCTCTTATTGTTTCCTTAATTTTTTTTTTTTTTTTTTTTTTTTTGAGACAGAGTCTGGCTCTGTTGCCTGGGCTAGAGTGCAGTGGTGTGATTAGAGCTCACTGCAATGTTGAATTCCTGGGCTCAAGTGATCCTCCCATCTCAGCCTCTCTAGTAGCTGGTACTAGAGGCACACACCACCACACTTGGATAATTTTTCCATTTTTTATAGCGATGGGGTCTTGCTGTGTTACCCAGGCTGGTCTCGAACTCCTGGCCTCAAGGAATCCTCCCACTTCGGCCTCCTGACCGTGTCCTTTACAGCTGCGGTCCCCAACCCCCAGGCTGTGGACCAGTATCGGTCCGTGGCCTGTTAGGAACCGGGCCACAGATCTACACCTTCCTGCCTCCCCCGCAATCCCTGTACCTGACCCCTGGAAACTTAGGAACCAGGTTCTCCGCGCAGCAGGAGGTGAGCGGCGGCTGGGCAAGCGAGTGAAGCTTTATCTGTATTTACAGCGGCTCCTCATCGCTTGCATCACCACCTGCTCCCCCACCCCTGCCTCCCACCCGCCATGGAAAAATTGTCTTCCATGAAAGGTCCCTGGTGCCAAAAAGGTCGGGGGCCACTGCTTTACAGTCTTTTTTGTTTGCCTGTCAGATATAGTTGAGTCCTGCCCCCCTACTCCTTGCCTCAACTTTGACGGATTAACAGATCGAAGGCATTTTCTCATGACTTTGAAATTCATTAGCAAGTATTTTGTAACTGCGTGGTATCTCTGTGTGGCTCAGCAGTAATTTACTTATTAATTTTGGGGAAGAGACTTTAGGTTGATTTTAGATTTTGCTAAAGTAAATAATGCTGTTGTGAACATCCGTGTGCTCGCATCCCTGTTCACGTTTTGCATTATTTCCTTAGACCAGATGCTGGAAATGGGACCACTGGGTGAGAGCGTGCTGTTTTTAAGAGCCGCTGTCCCCACGGCCGTGTTGCATCCCAGCAAAGCAGTCCCACTCCTGCCAGCCATCTCAGCACACCCTGTCTTGGCTGAATTTTAAAAAACAATTTGCTTGCTTCTTTCAAGAAATTCATGTTAATTGTAGAAAAGTTAGAAAATGAAAATGTAAAAAAATTACCCATACCTAGTCACCAACCCAAAATAACATCAGTTTTTTGGAGGATTGGGCTATAACATAGTGTTTTGTAACCTGCTTTTTTCTCTTAATATTTTGATAACACCTTTCTTTGCTCATCATTAAGTATTCTGTCCCTGCATTTTGGTGTTTGGTTATATGGACATGTGGTTTATTTAACCTGCCCCATGGCTGGCTGTGTGTCACCACTTCGGGCTGTTGGAAACAACACTGCAGCGAACGCGCCATCTGTGCATAGGCACGTGTGTCCCTGGGGAGTTGCGGCATCGGGACTGTCTGTGTTTGCGTTACGTGCCCAGTCTCAGGCTATGCTCTCACGCTCACCATGCCCTTGTACGTCCTTGTCTCGTAGCTGAATCTGTGGCCTCGCTGCCGTCCCAAAACAATGGAACCACAAGCCCTGACCCCTTTGAGTCTCAGCCCCTGACCATTGCCTCTAGCAAGCCCAGCAGTGCCCGGAAAACACCTGAGTCCTTCCTGGGCCCCAACGCAGCCCTCGTAAACCTAGACTCACTGGTGACCAGGCCCGCCCTGCCAGCCCAGTCGCTCAACCCTTTCCTGGCACCAGGTAGGCTTGCGTCCCGGGATGTCATCTGGCTGCTTGTTCTGTCCAAGAATGGGCGTGTGGCAGGCTTCAGGGGGCCCTTCCTGTGGCTGAGAAGGAGCAGTCAGCCAGGAGCTCCGGGAACAGCACTTCTGTCCTCGCCAGGGCCTCAGGGGTGTTCAGTTAGGGGGAGGAGTAGGGTGGGTAGGAAATAGCCCCTTTCCTCTCAGCTGAGACCACGAAGCAGAAGCTGCCCCTGACTGGTGCCCCGGGCAGGGACACCCTCGAGGGAGTTGCCAGTTCCGAGTCCGGTGAAGGAGGGTGGGCTGCCAGGAGAGGAGGAGCCAGGGTTTGCTGCCAGCGCCCCCTCTCCTTTGGGGGAAAATGTAAAAATTCTAGCCTCCACTTGCCTTTTCCTTTCTTTAACTCCCTTTCTTGGTGAATTACTAAACTGTGGAGGGCTCTGAGGGCACGGCAGAGACCAGAACACACACGGTCCCTGACCTGGAGCTCAGAGAGCTGCATCTGTGGTGGCAGCTGTGGCCCTGCCTGCTGGAGGGGCTGGCGCTGTCCTGACAGCTCAGCCTCTGCCCCTCCTGCTCTCTCCCCAGGTGCAGCCGCCGCCTCGGCCCCTGTCAACCCCTTCCAGGTGAACCAGCCCCAGCCGCTGACGCTGAACCAGCTGCGGGGCAGCCCCGTCCTGGGCACCAGCATGTCCTTCGGGCCTGGCCCTGGGGTGGAACCCATGGCTGTGGCCTCCATGACCTCCACGGCCCCACACTCAGCTCTGGGAACCAGTGGTTCTTCTCTGACACCACTGGGCCCCGCAACGATGAACATGGTGGGCAGCATGGGCATCCCTCCTTCGGCAGCTCAGGCCACCAGCACAACCAACCCTTTCCTTCTCTAGTGCCCCGGGCCTGGGACCCACCCCGGAGGGACGTCCAGAGCACCTGTGCCAGAGGACGCCGAGCAGGGACTCTCGTTTGTGGGATGGGCCTTGAGAGTTTGGGGTGGGCGGTGTTAGGGCTTTTCAATTCCGGCTTCCTGATAAAAGGGTTGTCTTTACAGCCCCAACCCTCAGACTTAGAGTGTCGTGTCACGTCACGTGAGGTCCTCGCCTTCCAAGGCAGGCCCGCTCACCTGCCCCAGCCTGGCCTGCTCTGGCCACCTCTTCCCAAGCACTCAGTTCCTGTCAGGGCTCCTCTGAGGCCTTGGACGAGGAGGTGGAGTTGTCAGCCTCAGCCCGAGGGTCTCTGGGACATTGCCTGGCCCAGGACTTGGGACAGTCTCCTAGTCTTTGCCCCCAGCCCTAGGGACAGCCCAGGCAGTCCCAGGTGTGGACGGGATGAAGCGCTGGCTCCATGAGACACTGACCTTTTGGGGAAGTGGTTGTGCATATTTTATTTTTCTTTGACTCGTGTTTGAGTTCAAAGTAAACACCACCGTGGACAACTCTTGAATTAAATCCACTAAAGCGAGCTTTAAAACTAATCTGAGCATAACCCTGCCACATGGCTCTATGCTTGTATACGTTTGCACATATTTTGTTTAGTACAGTTTCATATTTGAGTTTGCAGAATTATCTAATAGTCTTTTTTTGGCTAATATTTTTATAACGTGGTTCTTATTTAACTGTCTAGTTTTGATAGAATTTACCAGGTCTGGCTAAATTAAGATATTGGCACGTGTCATTTTAGTGGTTTAAATCGTCTTATTTATGGTTTTAACTCTGTAAGAAAATTTTAAAAAGAAGAGATGTTTGGATGACAAAAAATGCCTTATGGAAAAACTAAAGCAAATTCTTTATAGGGAAAAATATGGGAACTTGATTACACATAAAAGATGATGTTTATTTTAAAAAAAAAAAAAAACTACAACAGCAACAAAAAGTCCTAGCCTCCAGTTGCCTTTTCCTTTCTTTAACTCCCTTTTTTGGTGAATTACTAAACTGATTGACTTTCAGCCTTTTTTGGCTAGATCCTGAGAGAGAGGCTATTTTTCTTACTGATACACCAACATCTTGAAAGTTAAAGAAAAAAATCTAACATAAGAATGTGACTCACCAATTTTTATCAACTAATTCCTTTTGTGAATTAAAGGCATGCAGGGATTAACAAGGACTTCTGTTTACAGTGGAGTCTGAAACGGAAGAAACATCTTGACCCTGTGTGTCTGCTCTCCTCTGTCTCAGCCCACGCTCAGGTTAAAGATGGGGATAATGTGGAAATGGCAGTTGTCCCAGGGGGTGGGGGTGCCTCTGTGCCCACAGGTCCCCAGGGGATAGTCCCCAGGCTGAGACGGGGGTGAGGGACCAGGGCTGGCCCTGATCCACCTACCTGCTAACTCCTTTGTTTTTAAATTGCAGACTTAAAAATAATCATTTCTCATTTTGGAGATGTAGAAAAAAATCATTCTCATATGGGATAAGATTTTTTTAACAAATATACACTAATATTACCTCCCTCTCCCAACCTTCTGCTGTTTTCACCCCACCACCACTGTAAAAAAACAACAAAAAAGTATTAAGTCACAAATTAAAGACCAGAAAGGACTTGCTTCTCCCCAGCAAAGAGACATTCCCCCAATCCTGTGTCCCGGTAGCATGGCTACCGGGCATTTCTGGCTCGTTTTCCACCGTGTGGACTTCCCACCTCCAGCTCCCAGGGCAGCCGACCACCTGCCAGCCCCTCTCTGGTTCCTGAAGGAGAGCTGGCCCTTCACACTGGCGCAGGGAGATTTAAGATCTAAAATGCTCCTGGGCCGCCAGGAGGACATGCAGGGTCTGAGTGAAGATTGCCCACCTGTGCTGTTCCAGGAGCCACTCCTCCACCAGAACCAGAGGGTGCCATTCAGGAAGGCTGGTGGCTGGTCTCTTCCTGCCCGGCGAGGGTGGGAGGCGCGGTTGGGCGCAGGAGCAGGGTGCTTGCCCAGGTAGGTGCTTTCCCTCAAATGGTGCGGGGCCCAGACCAGCCTTACAGGTCAGTAGACCAGACTCAATTTCTTGGGGTCAGTGATTCTTTTGTAACAGACAAGAGCTCTTGCTGACGAGACTTTGAGGCCCCAACATGACCGCCCCCACCCCAGCTCCTGGCACAGGCCATCCCGAGCGCACGTTGTCCCTGTTGCCTGCTGCACTGATCATGAAGCCACCGGCCGCTGCCATTGTGCTCCCTCCTGACGGGCACCTTGAGGGAGGAAGCCACCAGGGGTCGGCAGCTGGTTTTGAACTTGTGTTGACTGTTGATACTTATTTACTGTATAAATATAATTTATCATTTGTATCATGATGCGGTTTCTGGCTGTGTCTTTCCCCCACCCGATCTTTAACAATCCTGTGCCACAGGGGAGGGTGGGCAGAGGAGGGAGCTTGGCCTGCCGTTAACATGGCCACCGGCCTGGTCCTAGTGCCTGAACCTCAGGGGAAGGGGTGGAGGCTGCCCTTGGTGGGCACTGGGACCTGTGGTCTGCACGGCTGTGTCAGGCACGTGCTGGCCAGTCTTTACCCCTTCCTGCTTTGAACGAGGGGGAAGTGGCGGCGTCCCCAGAGGCCTCCCTGCTCTGCTTGCCTTCTCGCCCACGTCACAGAAGAGCTGCTGCCTTGGCGGCTGGGGCCCAGAGGGAGCACGTGGAGAGAGCTGCCCAGCCCACTGCAGATTCCCGAAGGCCGGTGCTTGTTGGAGCTACTGGTACTTGGATGGCTTGCTGTGCAGCTTCGTCGTGGCAACAGCTGGCTGGTACAGAGCCCATGTCCCCTCAGAGCCTGCAGGACAGACGCGCATCTCCAGGTGGAAGAGGTGTTCCAGTTGTAGGACAACGCAAGGCAGAGGCACGGAGGCTGGGGAGGTGCCGATGGGAAGGTGGGCAGCGAGGTCCTCTGATGAGCCTGGGAGGAGCCCAGCAGGTGTGGCGGCTGCTCCGCGCGGAGCACCTGGCTCCCAGGGTCCATCAGGGTTGAGCAGACAAGCTTGACTCAAGAGGCCAAGGACTGAGGGCAGAGGGTGCCATGTTCAGTGCAGGTGACAGGAGAGGAAGAGGGGCGTGGGGGGTGCTTTAGGCTATGCTACAGTAACAAGTCTCCCATGTCTCAGTGGCTTAATAGGAATTTATTTCTTACAAACTTGGTAACCAAGGACCCAAGCCCTTTTCATCTGAGACTGCCGTCTTTGACATAACCCTGAAGGTTGCTGTGGAAGGGAAGCCTGGGAGGGGCGGGGGTGGACGATTTCTTACAGGCCAGGCCTGGAAGAGCGTTGCTGCCACCTGTGTTCCGACGCTACCAGGTGCGCGGGAATGGGGAAGTGCAGACTGACTTTGTGGCCAGGGGAACGGGAAATGGGCTTGGTGTTAACACATTGTCACTCACTGCCACAGCTGGCCCTCTGGCCACCAAATAGTTACTCTTCCTCACACATAGACCATAAGGTCCCATCGCATCTCTGCACCCAGTCTGAAGTTCGGGGTCTTTGTAGGGTGCAGAGCTTTTTCCTGCAAGCCAGACCCAGCCTATAAAGACCCATTATCCATCTGCGCCACCCTGACGATAACAAATAGTGGAACAGGGTGAGCGGCCACAGTCTGCCCTGTGGAGAGCGGAGTGGAAGGCGCCCGGCAGCTGCTGGTCCTTGGCAGTGCTGGAACCCTGCGGCGCAGACTGCGAGGTCCCCCTGCCCGAGGAGGGAGAGGACCTGATGGTGCCCTGCCCTGGGCTCTGCCCTCTATAGGTGGCACAGCCTTTCTTGTGTCCCTTCGGCTGCACCCAGGTGAGTGCTAGAGAGAATGAGCTCCTTGGGGTGGCTCAGCTTTCTCACCTGCTGCTGCATGTGGATGGTTCTAGGCCAAGACTTGTTCTAGGTGAGTCAGAGGCTTTAGGCTCATGGATCCCGTGGAAACACAATTGCGTCAAAAACGTGGGCAATCACTGGCCTCAGGGCTTCCAGTCAGCTCCATGTACAATAACCACATTATTTTGGTCCGAGTGCTCCTTTGGGGGCCCCGGGTGGACCTTGTCTCCCAGTGTGTCCCCCGTGCGTACTCTGGGCTTGGCTGTGACTAGATGGGGCCAATGGGACATCAGCAGGCATGTTGCCAGCAGGGGCTCATGAACACCTGCACACAGGGCTTGTCCCCTTCACATGTTCTGCTGACAGGCCGGCTGCCACGCTGTGAGAAGTCCAAACCCGTGGAGAGGCTCTGTGGGGGAGAACTGAGGTGCCCTGGCCAGTAGCCCCAGCTGAGCTCCCAGACAACTGCCAGCCACATGAGCCATCTAGAGGAGTCAGCCCCAGCCAACGTCATGTGGAGCAGAACCGCTCGGCTGAGCCCAGGCACCCCTAGAATCACGAGTGATAATAAATGGTTGTTTTAAACTACAAAGTGTTTTGGCAATTTGTGACACAGCAATAGATGAGGGACGCACATGTGTCAGGTGCTCTGCTAGACACAAGCCCGCCTTATTTCCGTGCTGCCTGACCCCCGCGCTTCTCTCAACTTCACGGTAGCGACCGTGAGGCCATCCCCATGGGATCATGATGGGGAGGCCACCCCCTAAACCCCATATTTAACAAAAGCCTGAGTTACTATGTTCACATGTGAAGTTTTATTATGCATTTATTGTTCAATGCAATTTTCAACCTTATGTCTTCCCATTTGAGTTCTAGAAAGTCTCTTTTTCCAAGAGACTTGCAAACTGGCCAGTTCTTTCCTGAGCTTATCTCTTTACTGCGAGAGTTTCCAAAATGCAGTGAACAGTAGCCAGTGCCCACTGCAATCCTATCGTCTGTTCCTTTCCCCCAGAGCTGTGGGCTCAGCGGGCACATAACTTGCCTCCCGAGTTGGCACAAGAGCATCTTAGCTAGTGTCTTGTTCTTGGCTAACACAGACCTGCTGTCCAGGCTGTGGATTCCTCCTGCCTGCCACACAGCCACAGGCATTCATGTGTTTCTGTTTTGTGGGTAGAGCAGAAACCCACTGCTGGTACCAGTTTCCGTGTCAGTTAGAATAGAATCGGCTATGCAGGAACTGATAACCCCAAACGCTCTATGGCTGAACACAATAAAAGTGCATTTCTCACTCACAAAAGCCCAGTGGAGATGCTCCTGGTAGCTCTCCTTCAAGCTGGGACTCAGATCCAGGCTTCTCCCTTGCGATGATCTGGCCTTCAACACCTGGCCTCAGAGCGCGTGTGGACTAGCGTGGGGAGGATCGGGTCGGGGAGTGACGTGGCTCAGCACTGCTCACAGGGACCAGCACAGATACAAGGGGCCTGGGAGGCGCAGTCTTCTGGCGTGTCCAGGAGAAAAGGGAAACAGTCCAGTGAACACACAGCTTTGTCATGGGGGATGACGGCACGGCCCCTAAGTGAGGGTGGACGTGGGGGCTGTATGTGCAACTGTCCTTCACGCGGGTGGTCCCACGTGTCTACGCTGCTCTCTGCTTCCAGTCACAGGCATGCCTTTGGCCTCCGACGCTCACCGCATCGCGCTCGCCTTGCCTGCGCAGGGCATGGGGAGCTTTCTGAGCATTCGGTGATGTTCCGTGCGTTCCTCAACACTCAGCACACAGTACTTGAGTTATGCATTTTGTTGTATGTAAACGTCCCCCCCAAAGAAAGTGATAACTGAACTCCAGTTAACTGTGCTGAAACGTACAGAAGGGGGTTTCCTGGTGTCTGCGGTTTACCGTGGAACGCACTAAAAACAGGACACGTTGAAGGAGAGGCGAGCAGTGGGGTAGATGTGAAAATGCACGTACCAAACAGGAAAGCGGTCATTGGTAGAATCTAGGTGGTGGGTATGTGGTGTACACTGTAAAATTATTTCAACTTTTCTATGTTTGAGCATCTTAACGTTGGAAAAAATCGAACAATTAAACATAACGAGAAGAGGGTGAACCACCTACGTCCAAGCTGCTGACAGGCCAGCAAATGTGGCCTGAAGCTTGGATGTGGACATGCCAGGCTGGAGGTTTCAGGGCAGTGACAGGGAAGAAGGCCAGTGGCCTGGGTCGGGGAGGACGCGGCATGAGGCAGAGGACTGGAGTGGTGCGGGGGTGCAGGGCCTTTGCTTTTCAGCCAAGGCTGACGAGGGTGGTCCTGAGGAGGAGGAGGAGGACTCAAGCCGGAGGAAGGAGGGGAGAAGCCCCTGTGGGTGCTGCACCTTCCAGGTACCCCAGGGAGCTCTTCAGCTGAGGGGGCCAGGAGGGTGCGGGAGGTTTGAAGAGACCAAAGGTGTGGAAGGGTTCGCGGGAGGGAGTAGTCTAAGGAAAGAGTGGACTCCCGGCAGAGCTGCGGGCCACACAAGGCCTGGGCTTCGGATCCAACGTGGGCCAGTCCACAGGCCCGATGCCCAGCAGAGCAGGCGGGTGCTGAGGTGGTGCCAGGCGAGTGTAAAGGCAGGCAGGGCACGGGCGCCAAGCACGTCTACCGGCCAGCGCGTGTACACGATGACCATGGATTCCACACAAGGGGCTGGTGATTGGCAAAGGGGCTGGGCTGGGGCTTGGCGGTGCTGGTGGCATGAGGCACTACCAGAGTGGGGAAGGGCCCTGTTCGGGAGGGGGGAGCTGAGGGAGGGACACTTGGGTCTAGATCTTGGAAGCAGAGCAGTCACCAGGAACAAGAAATGGCTAGACCATGGGGATGGGTGGTTGTAAGGGGTAGAGGTCAAGATCACTGCAGGTGAGAGGTTGAGGAAGAGGCCAAGTTGTTGGAAGGATCCCTCCCGCGGACAGTGTGTTGCCAAGAATGGCTGGAGCAAGACGGTAAGCAAGGCAGGCAGGCAAGGTTGTGGCGGATGTTGACATCAGAGGTCTGATCTGATGGTTTGGGCTGTGGGAGGCTGGTAGGAAGGATGAGAAGGGCTCTGGAAACGTAGTGGGGGCAAGGACACCCCCAGACCCACGGTACACTGGGTGTGGGAAGAAAAAGAGACTTTCTTAAAAGGGCTGCAGGGGACAGAGTGGGTTCCGGCAAGGCCAGAGGTAGAGGGCGGGGAGGGATGCAGGTTGCTGAAACGAGGAGAGCCCGCAGCTGGTGTCTGAGGCCAGGCACCATTCAGAGAAGATGGTCAGAATCCTAGGAATTTTGCTGATGACGGAGGAGGAGTTCCAGAATGCACAGTGATTTGGGGGCAGGAGATGGGAGTGCCCTAAAAGTGAGATAAAAGGCAGAAAAGGGTCAGTTTGGATGGTCCCAGGGCAAGTTCCGTGACAGCCAGGGCAGCATGTAGTATTGAGGCTGCGGGTCTTCAGGCCGGGAGGTGGGAGCTTCGCAGGAGCCCAAGAGCCCGGGACCAGGCAAGACACACCGTGGCTTCCCTTGAACCCCACGAGGGCAGTGTTTAGGCCAGTGCACCATGTCTGCTGAGGAAAGCTCTGTGGCAGGGCAAGGAGGGCTCACCCGAGGTGCCTTGTGACGTGCCAGGGCCTTTGCATGGAGCAGGTGAGGAGGTCCAGCCCTGGGCCTCCCGAGGTAGTGCTGAAAGTGCTCAGGTCCCAGAGGGGCCCGGCGCAGCTCAGAGGCTAGGCTGCTGGGCTGTGCGGCCTGCCAGAAAGCCAGCCAGCAACCTCCCCCACCTGCCCGGGCTGCAAGTCCCCAGGGCACCTTGTCATCCAGCTCTGCTAACAGGATTCTCCCCTTCCTGCCGAGGGGTGCAGGTGGGCATGGAGCACGGCTGGCAGGATTGGGGCCAGGCCCTGAAATCCTGGGCGGTGGGTGCTGTGCCTGGTTCAGGGATGCGGGTGTTGAGGGGCAGAAAGGCCACACAGCTGTAAGCAGGAGAACCAGGTTATGTCAGAGCTCACGTCTTGGCTGGCCATCCTGCTGTGTGGCCTCCTGACAGCTTCCACCCAGCATAGTGGCCCAAGGAGCGACGGGGGTGCGGTGGTAGACCCTGGAGGCTGGGTCAGAAAATGCTGCGGCCCCACTGGCCTGCTCCCATGGGGGAGGTACTAAAGGGGAAGAGGCAGCCCCAGGCCTGGGCTCTCTGAAAATGTGGCACTTTATTATATAAAACTATTCTGTCCTCCCCAGTCCCCGCCACAGGCTGTGCTTCAGGCTGATGGGTCAGCGGCCGACTCTGGAAAGACGGCCCTTCATTATCAGAGAGCTGCTCAGCCTGCCCGGCCAGACTCAGGGTGCGGGCAGAAGGGGACGACGCCTTCACCCGGGGGTGCCCTGGGGCAGGCTGGGCCCTGGGTCGCTCTGTGTGTCTGCAGGCCGACTGCTGTAGCCCAGCTTCCTCATGTCCTTGGTCACCACGTTGAAGAGGAGGGTAACGAAGCCCTGAGACCGGACGCGGGTCACTGGGGACAGAAGGTCAACGTCAGCTGGGCTGGGCTGGGGCAGAGACAGACCCCAGCTGCTTTGGGAATCTCTCTGCCTCAGTGTTCTCTTCTGTAAAATGAGGATGACAGTGCCTAGCCTGTGTCCCTCACTGGAAGGCAAAGGGGCTGAAGCAGGGACAGACAGACTTGGCAAACCCTCTGTTCTCCCACCAGGCCCTCATCTGGGAAAGTTCCTAGGCCAGCTCCTAGTGGCCGGGCAGGTCCCTGGGCACTGCGCCCGCCTAGTCCCACCCAGGCTCTAACCTGCCTGTGCGGCGGGGGGCATCGTGCTTTACCTTCCCGGCCTTCACCCTGAGCCACCACCTTGGGGTCTGTGTACTCGGGCCGCCGTCCCATGAACCAGCTGGGAATACAGGAGAACATGAGTGAGCAGGGCTCCTACCTGGGTATTCCTGGCCTCAACACCAGCTATGGGCTCTCCTTGTTTCAGAAACCTGCATCCCTCCCCCAACGCTAGCCCAGGGGCCAGGCCCTGGGCAAAGCCTTCCCGAGCCCGCCCTCCCTCTGCCCGTCATCTTAACGGCGTCCCTCGTCTGAGTCACACAGCCCATGGAGGCCTGGCCGGGCTTCCACCAGCTCTCAGGTCTCTGCAGCCCCAGTCCTCCTCCGCTGGAGTGCCACGCCTTTCCATCCCAGTCTCCCATGGGTTTGAGTCCCTGGGGGCTGAAAGCTGAGGGATTTGGGGCTGGGTGTGGGTACAGCCTGAACCTAGGTGTAGATCCCAGAAAGTTGACAATAGTTTAGTGGGGGAAGGGAGGGGACAGTGTGACCCCCCCAAGCCTCCCCAGGAAGGAGGCTCAAGAGTCTGTGAGGTGGGCAGAAGGGCCAGATCTGGGCTGCCCAGCTTTTCCTCTTAGTAGCGTGGGATCTAGGACAAGTCACCTCCCATCTCTGAATCTCAATCTTGGCAACTGTAAAATGGGGATCATATGGCACCCACCTCATGGGGTGGGGGGGTGAAGGCACTCTGTCAACAGCCAGATAGAACATTACCCTTCCTACCTAGGCGGTGGCCCTGGGATGCTCTGCAGTGACAGACACTGTCATCTGACTCCGCAGGCAGTCCTGCTAAGCATGCAGCCCTCAGCCAGGAGGGCCTGGGACACCCCTGGCGGGAGCTGGCTCCAGGGACTGGCGTCCAGGCCACGCCTCCGACACACCCACTCAAGCCGGAAAGAAGACGGTGCACTATTCCCGGCTGGGTGGGTCCGGCAGCCGCGGGCTTCGCCCCGCCCAGGAGGAATTTGCGGGCCACAGGTGCCCTCTGCTCCACAGCTCCTCCCGCGCCCAGCCGCGTCCTCTCCCGGGGAAACACCGACCCCCCACCCCCACCAGGCTCCCAGCGCCGGTGGGGCCGTGGGGAGGGGAAGGGAGGGCCGCTGGTAACCATGACAACGCATGGCTGTCCAAGCCACCGTCTAGCCCTTCCACTGACAAGGGCCGGTCCTGGCAGGGCAGGGCAGGGCAGGGCAGGGCAGGGCAGGCTCCCAGCCCAGCCTCGGGGCAGTGTAGCCAGGGTGGGAACAGGGAGTGAAACACCAGGACACACACTCCAGAAGGGGACAGGCGGGGCGGGCCGCAGCCTCTCTCTGCGACTCCACCCTAGGGCAGGGCTCTGGGAGCACCCACCTCAGGTGGCTGTCAGGACTGACGCACCAGAAGCAGTCCCCACTGAGCCCCACGGGTCACAAGTGCTAATGCACGGAGCTACCATGCTCGCTGCGTTTCTAATGCTCCCTGGGCTACACCAGGGCAGTCTGCCTGGCTGACTGGGGCGTGAGAGGCGATACAGACTGTTCTGGATAATGTTCCAGGCAAGGGCCTGGGGCAGGAAGGACCCAGTGGGCTGGAGGAATGGAGGCGCGGGGGAAGCAGGCAGAGCCCCATGGCAGGGCTGTGCAGCATTCGGGTGAAGCTAATCCTAAAGGCGAAGGGATGTGCCTGGGCAGGCTCTAGCGGGGAAGGCATGGCCTAAGCTGCTTCAGGAACACCATTTTTGTCGCTATGTGAAGACTAGATTGGGGGAGCCGCAGTAGGCTGAGTAATGGCCCCCAAAGATACCAGGTCCCAGTCCTTGGAAACCGTGAATGTGACCTTATCTAGAAAAAACGTCTTCGCAGGGGTGATGGAGCCAAGGAGCTTGCGCTGGGAAGCGGCCCTGGATGATCCAGGAGGGCCCCGAATGCCATCACACGCATCCTTACACGAAGGGGAGGCAGAGGCTGGAGTGACGCGGCCACAAGCCAAGGCAGGCCAGCAGCCGCCAGAGGGAGGCTGGAAGAGCCAAGGAACAGTCTGTGGGGGGTGCAGCCCTGCCCATGCCTTATTTTGGCCCAGTGATAACTGCTTTTGGGTTCCTGTTCACCAGAACTGTGTGAGAGAATAAATTTCTGTTGTTTTAAGCCATCAAGTTTGTGGCATTTTGTTGAAGCAGCCATGGGAAACTAATAGCGGGCAGAGAATGTTATGGGTAGGCCCTTTAGGCTGAGGAAGGACAGCTGTGGGGAGCAGAGAGGGAGCCCCCGGAGGGTGCTGGGAGGGGTGGGAGAGAGGAGTCGAGATGCCCCCAGGGCTCTGCCTGAGCAGGGAGCCTCCATAGACCCCCGACCCGTCTGGGAAGAGTTTGCCAATCACACGGCCTTCGCTAATCAGATGCTGCCTGGTGCTTGAAATGCGAGTTGAGGGCCCCTCACAAGGGGTGGAGAGGGCCCCTGCACTGGCTGCTATCCCTCAGGCACAGGCACAAACCTCACTGCTCTGCAAGCCAGAGGCCTCTGTGGGTACAGAGCCCTCTCCTCAGAGAGCGCCCACCTGCAGGCCCACGTGCCTCTGTGGGCCAGGACGGCCGTGTAGACTCTCAAAGCCCCTTAATGTTCCCCAAGCCCACAGACGTGCACTGCTCCACTGCTTCCCTGACAGCCCTGTGGGGTGGGCGCTGTCACCTCCAGGTGGCACTGGCCCAGGGCATCTAGTAAAGAAGTCTCTTCCCACATGGCAGCCTCTCAGAGGGGCTCCTAGGGGCGATGGGAACCTAAATTCTTGGGCTGAGGCCAATGGAGACACTGCTGTCCCACCCCGCCACAGGCCTCAGAGCTCCGTGAGGCATCCCCAGGGCTGAGGCTCGATGCCATCCTCTGCCCAGCAGGGCTCTGGCCAGGTCTCACCCCGGTACTGGCCAGGCCCGCAGGGGCCATTTGCCAGCTGCTACCCAGGAGCCCAGTGGTCGTCCACCTCCTCTCAGCCTCACTGACCTGCTGGGGGCAGCAGTGGCTTGCAGCTGAGCCGCGCCAACAGGCGCTTCCATCCCAAACCCCCAAGTCAGCCAGCCAGGGCTCAACTGCATGCGCCCCAACCTCCTCCCCCCATCTCCCACCTGGACATGGTAAGGGGTAAGAGGCCCTCCCTGGGGCTTCCTCCAGACATCCTGGGCCTCCCCGCAGGCCCTCGTGTCCTGGCCTTGCCTGCCTGCCTCCCCTGGCATCTCCCCACATCTCCCCTTGCTCACCACTTACCAGCCAGACATCCTGGCTGCCCCTAACATGCAAGGCCCACACTGTCCTCAGGGCCTGGAACATGCTGTTCCCTGCGCCCGCCATGTTCTTCCCCCCCCCATCTTCCCACTTAGTCTCTGCTCAAATGTCAGCTCCTCCCAGAGGCCCCGTATGTAAAGGCATTTAGTAACTTACTGAGAAAAGCTATCCATTATCTTATTACTGTTTTCAGGTGTTCAGCTCATACTGCTGTAACCTGTTTACCACCTTTTAATGTCACAATATGTCATGAGCATTTTCCCATCAGACAAGAGTGTTTCCCCTGCTCCATCCGACACAAAGACTTCTAACAAGGCACAGAGTAAAACTGCATGGATGCATGCTGCTAGAACAGTGGCTGTAGGGAGCCCAGTGACTCTCAGCACCTCCATGGGACGTGTTTCTAGTTGTGCCCACTCAGTGGAGCGACTTGAAGATCTGAGGTGACCAGGTACATAAAGAGGGGTGGAATGTGACACCCAATCCTCCTCTAGATCAGAAAGAGGGGCTAGGGGTTAGGGTAGAAAACTCACCTTGTAAACTTTTGCAGTTTAGACGTAGATTCCGGGACAAACATGGGGATGGTCCTCTTGTGCCTGAAACAAATGTTTTCGCAGACAGATGCAGAGCAACAGGCAAGCGACAGAGCTTTCTGAGCCTCCCGCCAGCAGCAAGCAGCAACACTCACAGATCAGGCCGGTGCAGCCGCAGCGTGGCTGAGTCAAGGTCAATGCCAACAAATCTAACCTGCGCTGGCTGAGCGCGGGGAGACAGCCGTGACCACCACCGGCCCGGGCCCAGCCTCACAGAGGTCAGAGTCCGTGAGGGTCTTTTTCTTTTCAGGGCCCACTCCCTCCCCACCCCACTTGGTGTGCAGCTGGCAGCACGAGCCTCACCATCCACCCGCGTGCGGTTCTTCCCAGATCTGGGCTGCACCCCCCACCCTCCACGCCAAGCTGCCCAGGTCCCTGGGGGGCCCCAGAGGATTCCCAGCCTGAAACCGGGACAGATGAGGTGATGTCTCTCCCCAGAACAAGCCCTGTTGAGGGTGCCTGGGTCCCAAGGTGAGCATGGCCCAGTGAGAGACAGGCTGAGGCCCAGCGACCAGGTCAGAGTGAGGACCTACCGGCCAGGTGAAAAGGGCACGTGCACTGCCCCGTAGCCTCGGACCACATCGTTCCCGAACACGTCTGGTCCATACACACTGAGCACAATCTGTGGCCCTTGGGAAGGACAAGGCAGGGGGTTGGCAGGTGGGGAAACACAGGGAAGGTGCGGGGCAGAGAACAGGGGGTGTTGGGCTGAATCACAGGGTGGTGCTCAAAGCCCTGGGGCTGTAGGCTTGAGGGAGGCAGGAACAGATGTGGGAACCCGGACTGCACCAAGGGCTTCTGCCCACCCTGGTACTTCCTGTGCCTCCAGTGATGCCTGGGCAGGCATTCTCTACCATCCCTCTCACAGCTGGGGAGACACAGCCAAAATGCTGTCCCTACTCTGTCACTTGACGGACACAGCAAGTGCCTCTGCAGGCCCTGTGCTAGGCACTGGTCCCCAGCTGTGATCAGAGCAGATGAAGGGCCTGCCTGCTCTCTGGGAGGTTCCTGATGGAGGCAGCTACAGTCAAACACACACCAGACGGGCTCACAGGACCGGGGTGAGGGGCTTGGTTTGGGGGTGTCTAAGAGAAGTCAGAGAGAAAACAAAGACCTTCTGGGCAGTTACCTTTAAAAATTAACAGTGATGCCTGTTTCCTGCTAACATCAGGTCACATTAGGTGCTTTCACCTCATTAGCTTCTCTGTCCTCTACATGTAGGGGAGAGATCATTGCCCCAGGTGAAAGGTGAGGCAGTGAGGCCCAGGAAGGGCCTGGACGGAGGTGGCCTGCCAGGCCCCAATCCTGCCACCTGAGTGACCTCAGGCAAATTACCTAACCTCTCTGCCCCTCAGTTTCCTCATCTCTGAAACACTTGGCATAGAGCCTATGTGTAGTAAGCACTCACGAAATACTAGGGTCAGGTTTGCACCCCTCCCTTCACTACCCCACACCAAAGGTGACCACTCTTCTGAATTGCAGGAAACCAACTCGTTACTTTTCTTTAAGGCTTCACTGCCAAAGAATGTGTCCCACACATGGTACTTTAGTTTTACCCATGTTTTTGCAACTTTATATAAAAGGAATCATAGGCTGGGTGCAGGGGCTCATGCCTATAATACCAGCACTTGGGGAGACTGAAGCTGGGGGATCACTTGAAGCCAGGAGGTTGAGACCAGCATGAGCGACATAGTGAGACTTTGTCTCTACAAAAAATAAAAAAAATTAGCTGGGCATGGTGGCGCACAACTGTATTTCCAGCTACTTGGGATGCAGTGGCAGGAGGATCGCTTGAGCCCATGAGTCTGAGCTATGATGACACCACTGCACTCCAGCGTGGCCAACAACAGAGTGAGACCCTGTCTCAAAAAAAAAAAAAAGGAATCATGTAGTATGTATATTTTTGTACTTAGCCTCTTTAACATTACGTTTGTGAGATTCGCTCAAATGGTTTGGTGTATAGGAGTTTGCTAATTTTCAATGCTGTATTATATTCTACCATCAAAATATGCCACAGTAACCATTCACTCTAGTGCTGAAGGACAAGCAGTCTGTCCCTCCTCTGGGGGCTGTGGCACACAGTGAGGCGCTGAGCTCTGTCGCACAGGCTCTTGGCGCACTTTGCACACTTCTCTGGTGGGTGTACACCCAAGAAGGGCATCATAGCACAGGGCATGTCTATGTTCCCTTCTTAAAGGTAACACCAAGCTGTTTCCAGTGGGGTCGTACCAACCTGCATTCTCCCCAGCGGTGCCATCTGAGTTCCTGCTACTATGCCTCGTCAAGACTTGGCATTATCAACCTTTTAAATTTGAGTTCTTCTTTTTTTTTTTTTTTGAGACAGAGTTGCCCGGGCTAGAGTGTCATGGCATCAGCCTAGCTCACTATAACCTCAAACTCCTGGGCTCAAGTGACCCTCCTGTCTCAGCCTCCCGAGCAGCTGGGACTACAGGCACATGCTACCACATCTGGCTAATTTTTTCTATTTTTAGTTGTCTGGATAATTTTTTTTTCTTTCTATTTTTAGTAGAGATGGGGTCTTGCTCTTGCTCAGGCTGGTCTCAAACTCCTGAGCTCAAGCAGCCCTCCCGCCTTGGCCTCCCAAAGTGCTGGGATTACAGGCATGAATCACTGCACCCAGCCAAATTTGAGCTATTCTAATGAGAGAATAGTGGTAGCTCACTGTAGCTTTAATTTGCATTCCTTAAATTTTTTCTCAATAAAATAAGGTTGAGACCTCTTCCTGCTTCTTGGTCATGTGGATGTCCTCTTTTGTGAAGAACCTGCTCAAGTCTCTTGCCCGGCTTTCTACTGGATGCTTTTCTTGTTGCTTTTCAGTATGTAGGTACGTGTGCATGTCCCGTGACTTGTCTTTTCACTCTCAATGACGTCTCTGGATGAATAGAAGCCCTTGATTTTAATACAGTCAATTTCATTTATCTTCTCCTTTAAGGAGTCCTCTTAGAAAATCTTCCCTTACCCTGATATCATGCTATAGGCCCCCATGCTATCTTCCTGATGCCTATCATTTTGCCCTTCACATTTGGATTTACATAGGCATCTGAAACTGACTTGTATATGTGCGGTCAGGCTTCATTTTTTTATCCCGTTGTCCCAGCACCATTTACTGGAAAGACCTTCCTTTCCCTAACCTACTCTGCTTGCCACCTTTGTCATGAATCAACATGTGCTTAGGTCTGTCTGTCTTGGGGGTCTCTATGGATCTCTTTGTGCCAAAACTACATTGTCTTAATTACTGTGCTTTATAACGGAACCTTTATAGCAGGTAGAACAAATATATTTTGATATTATTGTAAAGAACATATGTATTTTGAAAATATTTTCTATTTATTGCTGGTACACAAAAAGCAATTGATTTTTGTACAGCAATCTATTAATTCTAATAATTTATAGATTATTTTTGAAATTCTGTATGATTGTATCATCTGTGAATAACGACTATTTTGTTTTTCCTTTCTAATTCTTATAGTGTTTACTTGTACAATGTTGGTGGTGATAACAAGCATTCTCACCTCACAAGAAAATCTTTCAACATTTCACTAGTAAAAGTGATATTTGCTCTAAGCTTTTTGTAGATAACCTTTATCAGATTAAGGAAGTTTGCTTCTATTCCTAGTTGACTAAGCTTTTATCATGAATGGATGTTGAATTTTATCATGTGTTTTCTTCGTTTATGGGGATGATCATGATTCTTCTTTTTAATGTGGTGAATCACACTGGTTGATTTTAAATGTTATATAAGGTTTGTATTTTTTTAATAAACCCTTCTCATATTATCCTTTTTATATCTTGCCAGATTCAGTTTGTAAATATTCTGTATGAGATTTTTGCAAGTGTTCATGAGTTAGTTTCTTCTTTTTAATGTCTTCAACAGGCACTTCTAATCAAAATAATGCTGATCTAAAAAAATAAGTTGGGGAATGTTTAATCTTTTTGGTTTTAAGAGTTTTGTGTAAGCCTAGTTTTATTTCTTCCTTAAATATTTGGTAGAATTCACTATAAAGACATTTTGGGCCTGGAGTTTTGTGTGAAAATTTCTAATTAATTACAGATTCAATTTAATAGATACAGGACTACTCATATTCTCTTTCTTTTTGTGTCAGTTTTGGTAGTTATATTTTTCTAGGAATTTGACCATTTTGTCTAACTTGCCAGATGTATTAGCAAATAGCTATTCTTAATATCTTTTCATTGTCTGCAAAATCTGTGATTATGTCCCTTTTTTCATTCTTGCCATTTCTGTCTTCTCTTATTGATCATCTTAACCTGCACGTTTCAATTGTAAAAAACAACTTTTTTCTTTTTATTTTTTTGAATTGAGACGTGAGAAGGTAACTTGTCTTTTTTCATCTTCTCTTACGTAAATGTGCTTCCTGTTAATTTCTACTCTTTTTCATTCTTCTACTTTCTTTGGGTTTAATTTGCTGTTATTTTACTAATTTCTTAAAATGGTGCTTAGATTACTAATTTTCCAGCCTATCTTCTTTTCTAACATATACATTTAAAACTACAAAATTTCCTTGTAACCAGGATTTTAACTGCCCACTACAAAGTTTAAATAGTCAAATATTTTCACCATAATTCAATTCAAAATTCCATTATTCCATTATTATTTCTTCTTTGACATATGGGTTATTTTTAGAAGTGATTTTCTTGTCTTTCAAACATAAGAAGATTTTCTCATTAACCTTTTGTTATTGATCCCTAACTTAATTTCATGATGGCCAGAGAAAATACTCTACTCCCCCAGAAAAGGTGAAAGAGTTTCCCAATGAATCCTTGATTACTCACTACCTAGATTACCATAATGGCTGACCATGCTAGCTTTAGCACCTATCTTTCCATGCTTCAGTCAATCCATCCTACTTATTGTGAGGAATTTCAAAATTGCAGGTATCTGTACACTTTCTCTTTGAAACTTTTTAAATTAAAAAATGTTTTAATTCTTATGGGTACGTAATAGTTGTATATGTACTTTTTTTTTTTGAGACAGAGCTGTCACCTGGGCTAGAGTGCAATGCCTTCATCACAGCTCACAGCAACCTCAAACTCCTGGGCTCAAGCGATTCTCCTGCCTTAGCCTCCCGAGCTGGGACTACAGGTGCACACCACCATGCCTGGCTAATTTTTTTCCTATTTTTGTAGAGACAGAATCTTGCTCTTGCTCAGGCTGGTCTTCAACTCCTGGCCTCAAGTGATCCTCCGACCTTGGCCTCCCAGAGTGCTAGGATTACAGGCATGAGCCACCGTGCCTGGCCAGTGTATACTTTCTTTAAAATACTTCACTATGTATATCATTAACTAGAGCTCAATATTTTTTTATAGTTCTTGAGATAAAATTTACACATAACAAAACACACAAGTCTTAAGTATACTATTCAATGGATTTTGACAAATACATACACCTGTGTAACCCAAATCCAGCTGCTTTAAAGATTTTCCTTTCATCTTTGGTTTTCAACTGTTTTATTATTATGCATCTAGGCATGGATTTCTTACATTTAGCCTGCTTGAGGTTTGTCTTCTTGAATCTGTGGCTTAATGTCTTTCATCATTTTGGGAAAAACTACAGCTATTTATCCCTTCCGATATTGCCTGTGTCTCGTTCTTTCTCCTCTCCTAGGATTCCAATTGCATACCATAGATTTACTATTAATATATTCTGTCTCCTGCTCTCTCTTCAATATTTTCTATTTTTGTATTTCATTGCAGGTATATTCCTTTGACTGAGCTTTCAGTGTATCATTATCTCTTCAGTTATGGTTATCATATTTTTCAGTTCTACAATTTCTATTAGAATCTTTAAAAAATGTCAGATACTCTAGTTCTCTGCCATAATTGCCAATATTATGTTTTCTCTCTTTTGGTGATGGTAAGAATGTATCTGACAATTCTAGCATCTGGAGTTCCTGTTTGTTTCTTGCCTTATTTTTGCTGGTTATCCTTCTTGTTATCTTGATGTGCCTCTTACTATATGCCAGACACTATATTTGAAAAAATATAGAAATAATTTAAGGCTTCCTATTTGCTTTTTCCAGGTGACTTGGCTATAAAAAGCTTTGGAGCTTAATCCAAAAATCAGGGGGTTGAAATGATCAGAGGCCGGGCTGCCATCCTGTGAGGCTGCTCTACTTCATCTCTCCCTTATCTCTAGGGCAGCTCTTTGAGGCCTCCACCCAAGTTGCAAAGATTTTCCTAAGGCCCTCTGCCCCACCAACCCCTTGGAGGGTTCTGAACATTAGTTTTTGTCCCCTGGGCACAGAGAAGCTGTCAAAGGTCTTGATCAGTCTCCTAGTCACCTCTGTTGGAATCAGCAAACACTCTCAGGGAGATGCAACTGGGGTCACATCTCTGGATTTCTGTTCTCCTGGATCCTGGTAGATCTCCACTACTTTGCTAACTCTCTGAAGCCTTCAAGGTGGTTGTGTTTTGTTTTTGTTTTTCAGTATTTTATTCACTTCTCCTAGCCATCCTCAGCAGGAGCAGGCTGTTTCTACCACTTGGTGCTTTGTTCCAGGAAGGCTACCAAAGCTCTTACTCAGGGATGATGACAGCAGGATGGATGTCCCTGCCCAGAAGGACAACAGGCAGCCCCTGCTCCAGAATCTCTGCGCTCTGGTGAACCTGGACCCAGGCCACATGCAGTAGAAAGGCCTGGACTATGAAATTAGATGGGGATGAATTCAAATCCACACTCGGCTACTGGCTGGAAAGCAGAAGGCAAGTGATACCAGTTTTGAGTCTCAGTTTCCCAAGATGGGAAAAGAAATGAAGAGAAGTCTGTCTGCCAGATAGGACTAGGAAGCTTGGACAAGTCCACATAAAGTATTCATAGCCCCCATGGAGCCTAACCCCAGGGTTTGCATACAGTAGGCACTTATTCAGTGAAAGTAAACAATTAGAATGGTTAATAATGACCAAAGTAGGAGGTGAACACTGCAAGCAAGGGAGCCCTTGGGACGGAGGTAGGAGGTAGGATGTGGAAAGTGTATCTTGGCAGAGGGAACAGCATGAACAGAGGCTCAGAAGAGGGCACTTGAGGCCTAGCACAGAAGGAGCGAGTGTTAGGGTCTGGCGGGAGCACAACAGGCCATGGAAAGTCAAGAGGCACAGGGTCGGCTGGGCGCGGTGGCTCACGCCTGTAATCCTAGCACTCTGGAAGGCCGAGGCAGGTGGATCGCTTAAGGTCAGGAGTTGGAGACCAGCCTGAGCAAGAGTGAGACCCCGTTTCTACCAAAAAATAGAAAGAAATGATCTGGACAACTAAAAAAAAAAAAAAATATATATATATAGAAAAAATTAGCTGGGCATGGTGGCGCATGCTTGTAGTCCCAGCTACTCAGGAGGCTGAGGCAGAAGGATTGCTTGAGCCCAGGAGTGTGAGGTTGCTGTGAGCTAGGCTGATGCCACGGCACTCACTCTAGCCAGGGCAACAAAGCGAGACTGTGTCTCAAAAAAAAAAAAAAAGAGGCCCAGGGTCACACCTCCAGGCCAGATAGCTGCAGTGTGTACACTGGGCTCAGGCATCTGCCCTTCACTGGCACAGCGACTAGCAAAGGTGCCCATTGGGACCTGATCCACTTTGAACTTGCATGAGGCCAGCAGCACAGCATGTAGAAGATGAACTGGGTTGGAGTGGGGATGAGGAAGAGGAGGGAAAAAAGGGCAGGTGGCCAGAGAGAGAACATCAAAGGTTGGTGCAAGAGCCCAAGTGACAGGTAGTGATGACATGAATGTGGACAGTGGTGGACAGGACGAGGCAGAGGCTGCCCTGGGAGTGCTGCGTGCAAGCTCTGGGCCCCTGTCCCCCAGGGCCTCTGCAGACTCACAGCCAAAGGGGTTGGTGCTTTTAAAGGTGATGTCGATGGGGAAGTTCCACACCAGCGCATGGCATGCATCTCGGCTCTTGGATGTGATCTGTGAGATCCCCTCCTCCAGACCCTGTGGGGACAATGACAGAGTCAACTGGTGTCTGAGCATCAGGCTGCCATGGCTCCTCCCCTTGCCTTGGGTGGGCAGCTGCGAGGGATGTTTCCTCAGCTACCTTCTACCAAGACATTAACTCCCAAAAAAAGGGGACTAAGAAGTAACAGAGCACCTCTTAGTCTGGTACTTTAATGCATTATCTTATCAAAGCGTGACAACGCAGGAGGCCAGCCACTCTCCCAGGCACTAGTTCCTGTCCCCTCTTGCTTCACTGAAGGCAATGGCACTGACACTGTTTGCACTGTCCCTCCTACACCACCATTCTCACCCGGGCATCCCTCTTGGCATACACGTATATACGATTTTCTCAATCACAGGCGATCTCTCCTGATTCTACCTCCTCCTCCACCTGCCTGCTGATTCTTTCCTCCCCTTTACGGCAAAACCCCTCAAAAGCGTTGTCACACTCACCAGCTCCAATTCCTCCTCTGCTGTTTTTTCATGAACCCACTGCAATCTGACTACTGGCTCCCCCACTCTACCAAAAGGTTTTTTTAAATAATACCAGTGACCTTGACATTGCTATATCCACGGTCATTTCTGTCCTCATTTTATTTGACTCATCAGAAGCATCTGACACAGCTGATCACTTCTGGAAGTTGATCTGCTTCTTGATACACTTTCTTCCTTTGCTTCTGGGTCTTTCTACCTCATGGGGTGGCTCCTGCTCAGTAGCTCTTGCCGGTTCCTTCCCAGCATTGCATGTCCTGAGGCTGCGTCTCTGGCCGGCTCCTCTACCTGCACTTGCTGATCTCACAGCTTTCAATGTGGTCTAGAAGTTGACAATTCCCAAATTCATGTCTCCAGCCTGGTCTTCACCTCTGAACTCCAGATCGGCATTGCCCCATCTCCCACTGCCAACCTTGCATCTCCACTGGGATATCTAGTGGGCATCTCAACCGTAATCCATGCTGGGCTTAGCGCTAGGGAGCTGTCCCCAATCTGCTCTATCCATAGTCGTCTCACTGACGGCAACTTTCTACTTCCAAGTGCTCAGCCTAAAAACCTTGGTGTGATTCCTAACCCCTCTTTCTCTCATACCCTACATCTGTCCAACAGGAAAACCTGTTGGCTCAATCTTCAAAGTATACTTGAAATCCAACCACCCCTCACCATCTACGGCTGCCACCCTGCTCTTCCATGTGTGCTGCCGTCACAGCCAGCTGGTCACCCTGCTCTTGCCCTCGCACCTGAAATTTATTCCCAGCATAAAAGCCAGAGGGATCTTTTTAAAACATGAGTCAGGTCATTTTCTTCCACGTTCAAAACTCTCCAATAAGGTCCCATCTCCCCTTGAGTAGAGGTCATGGTCCTTACTCTGACCTTCTAAGCCCTACAAGATCTGCCACCCTGTGCCTCTCTGCCCCAGGACCTTTGCACTCTCTGCTCCTTCTGCCTAGAAAGTTCTTTCCACAGATTTCCACATAGCTTGTTTCCTCACTTCCTTCAGGCCTTTGCTCAAAAGTCACATTTTCAGTGAGGCCTTCCGTGGCTGACTTGAGTCTCGTCTCCCTCTTACCCTTTCCCTCAGCACTTCTTATTAGCTAAATACTAGACTATGTGCTATTGACTATTTGTCCCCTCCACAAGAGAGAATGTGGACTGCAGGAAGACAGGACTTCTGTCTGGCTCTGTTCACCACTGTACCCCAGCACCCAGAAGACTCTCGATCAATAGTCTGTCAATGAATGGGTAAAGGGAAAATAAGTATTATCATCTCAGTTGTACAAATAAGGAAACTGAGGCTCAGGAGGTTAAATAAGTTGAGCCTCGATTTCTTAAACTGACGTGAGGATTAAATAAGCGCTTTGCAAATAGTAATGTGTGGTGCTGGCTGAAGTGGTCACCAGCATCCCTCTCCTGTGGAGACAGGCTGCCCCTTGGGAAGTCTCGGCAGGAGAGTGACTGTTCTGCCTTCTGACTCTGCTGCGTCCTCTCCGGCAGCTGAGGAGAGGCCAAACAGTGAGGGGACTGGCCCGGAGTGTCTACAGCCCAGCCGCTTCCCGGCTGGGTTGCCGGAAGACCCTGCCCATGGGGTCTTCTTTGCTGCCACACGCAAATTCACAGGATCGGGTATGTGAGTGAGCGCAGTCTTGGGGACGGATCGGGGAGCCCAACAGTGGCTGTGCTCTATGCTCTAGTTTTACTAGGAACAAACTGAGGTTTGGTTCCCTCTGAACTTGGTGTCTACCTCTCAATGGGTTCTGAATGCAGAGAAGAAGGGTGTGATAAACACCTTTGGAAACCCCAAAAAGTCACGAAGGCCCAAGAGTCCAGCTTACCGCTGTGGGGGCCCAGTCCTGGCCATACACAAAGCAGTACTTGCAGTAGAGGTTGTCGAACTCAGGAAACTGTGGGAAAAGCATACATGTATTCTGTTTACCGGTACTCATGCTGAGGCCAGTGCATCTACTAGCAGCCGACAGCAATTCTGAACATGAGGCACCTGGGCTGGGGTCTCAGAGACAGCTGGGGATGTGGACATGGAGTTTAGTGGAGAGGCTGGGGACCCGGATGTGGGAGAGTCCCAAGCTGCTGCCACCCCTGGGCCTGAGCCTTGTCGATATGCCCTTCCTATTTCTTCATCTGGAAGACTCCTGCTCATCCTTCCAAACATATCCTGCTGGGAGCCTGCCCCACTCCCAGACTGGTTTAAGGGCTACTTCTTGGCTCCCTCAGCCCCTGTGCTTCCCTCCATCAAAGCACTGATTGCCTGTGTCCAAGTCTGTCAACTCCACTAGACTGTGAACAGGGAACAGGTTTGATGCTTTTCTGTGTCCCCAGTGCCTGGCACAGGGTGGACACAGATGTTGTCTAAGGGAATGGTGCTGAAGTGAAAGGTCTGAAAACCCAGGAAGCCATCAGGACATGCTTGGCTGGAGCTGAGGGCCTGGAGAGAGGGAGGGGCCCAGCACAGAGGGAGAAGGAACAGTAGGTGTGTGTGTGGAGGGGGGCACTGAGAGCACAGATGCATATGACCCAGCCCAGCTGAGAGCCCCTAATGGGACAGAGCAGGAGAAAAGGGGAAGATGGTCTGAGGCACGAGGCCATGGCAGAGGACAGGGTGGGAGCACAGGGCTGTATCTCTGATGAAACAGGAAAGCAGGAGACACCTACTAATCATCAGGCCCTGTGAGAGCTGTCCCTGAACCATCTCAGTTAATCCTCACAATAATATAAATAATAAACACCATCTCCAACAGCCTGGAAAGACAGTGTAGCAAAGCTTTCAGGTCAGACAAACCTGGGTTCACTTCCCAGCTATGCCACTTCCTTTGGGGAAGTCTTCCCAGATGTAAAAGGTGGATGTTAGTGATACCTACTGCACAAGGCTGTTGTAAGGATTGCATAAGCCGTGCTGAGCATGGAGTTTGGTGCATAGCAAGGACTTGTTGAATGTTGAGGGTTTTTTGTTTTGTTTTGTTGTTGTTGTTAGAGACAGTGTCTTGCTATGTTCCTCAAGCTGGTCTCAAACTCCTGGCCTCAAGTGATCCTCCTGCGTCCACTTCTGAAAAGTGCTGGGATTACACGCGTGAGCCGTTCCGCCCTGCCTAGTTTATATTTACTTATAATAAATGGTTCTTATAAAGTGTAGGAGGATGGAGAGTAGGTTCGGTCGGACATGCACACACCATTCTTGGATCTGACTAACCAAAGCATCCAGATTCTAACTCACGTTCACCCTGGGGGTTCTCAGCGCATGGCACTCCCTGCGCATGGCACGCGGCGCGGATCCCCCTGTTACACCCCGGAGGCTCTGGTCCGTGACTCAACCAAGTGGGCGCCATACCAGCCAGGGCCACAGGCTTGGCCGAGTGTGACCTCCGTGCTAGGTTTGTTTCCACACCTGCACATCGAGGCTAAGGATTCCCAGCAACCTCGCGCCAAGCCTCTCAAACGCTTGCTCCCCTCCCCCGCCTAACCGAGAGGCTCGGAGGAATGACATGGCTCTCCGGGGGGCCACACAGCAGCCCAGGGGATTACGGGAAAGGCCCCTAGGGGGCACTCGGAGGCGGGCCCCGGCGGGGTCCAAGGCCGCTTACCTGGGCGCTTTCCACCTGCCCGTTGACCATGAGTAGGAAGACGCTAGGACCCCCGGCCGCCATGACAGGGCTGGGGGTTCGAGAGACCCACCTAGGCCGCACGCGCAGTTGCTAAGAGGCGCCGGGGTTGCCCTAGAAACAGACGGCGTGGCGCGCGGGACGTGTTTCTCCGCAGCGACTCCTTCGCGAAAGCCACTGCCTGCGTGTGTGGCAATGCGCAGGCGCAGTCAGTGGGCGCCGCCGGGAGGGGCGGAACGGCATGTGAGGCGGGGCCTAAAGGGCCGGGGCTCCGCGGCCCCGCCCCTTTCTGGGGCTGAGGGCAGGAACCTTGACCGGTGAGTAGAACCCGGCCCATCGCGCGGCCAGTTACGGTACCCCAGGGAGCGTGTGTCCACTCTGACTTGGCCTGCTCCGCCCCGACGCGCGGAGACGAAAAGAGCGGGGTCACGGGGAGACCCGCCCCTGACTCAAGCCTGCCGGAAGGCAAATGTTTAAAATAGCCCTCGGCCACTAGACGGCGCTGTGGCCCTGCGGGGGCGTGGGGAGGGCTTGGGGAAAGCGGAGGGACGCTGCCAGAGCTAAAGGTAGCAGGCGTGGTGCTCATAGGAGGGTCCCCAGCTGGGGCCAGGCAGCTTGCATCAGGTGGCCGGGATGCGCCCTTGTGGCTTTTGAGAAAAAGTTCTATTTTTTTTTTTTTTTGAGACAGAGTCTTGCTCTGTCACCTGGGTTAGTGTGCAGTGGTGTCATAGCTCACAGCAACCTCAAACTCCTGGACTGAAGTGATCCTCCTGCCTCAGCCTCCCGAGTAGCTAGGACTACAGGTGCACACCACCACACCCGTCTAATTTTTCTATTTTTAGTAGAGATGGGTTCTTGCTCAGGCTGGTCTCGAACTCCTGATCTCAAGTGATCCTCCTGCCCCGGCCTCCCAAACTGCTGGGATCACAGGCAAGAGCCACAGCACCCGGCTAATTTTCCTATTTTTGGTAGAGATGGGGTCTCGCTCAGGCTGGTCTGGAACTCCTGAGCTCAAGCAGTCCTCGCTTCGGGCTCCCAGAGTGCTAGGATTATAGGCAAGAGCCATGGTGCCCAGTCAGAGAAAAAGTTTATTAAACAAAGTTGGGGAACCTCAAGAACACTTACATCCAATCCACCGCTCCTCAATGTAAAGCTGGGGAAACTGAGGCCCATGGAGGAGCAGCCCCTGGCCCCACAGTTAGCCAGTGCTAAGGGGAGTCAATGGCCAGAACCCACGGGTCTGCTAAGGCCCTGTTCAAATGACGGTTACTCCTTGGCTGCCCTAAGTCACAGCTGTTAACACACGGATCCAGTTCCTGTTAGTGCTCGCCATGGTTTGTATTTGCACGTTTGTTATTTCATAATCCAGGCTAATGCTTGCCTCCCTCACTAGACTGCCAGTTTTGTGAGTCCCGGGACCATGTCAGTCTTGTACCCTCATGGCCTGGCGCATAATAAACGCTTGGTAGCTACTAACTTGTTGAATGGATGAATAATTGAAGACATCTGCTTTTTACAGAGGAGGAAACAGACTCAGACAGCAGACGTAACTTGGACACAATCACAGCAGCAGGTAAGTAGCTGAGTCAGAATTCAAACCCAGGACTCCACAGGCTGACAACCCTCACTGCCTCCTCTGTCTTGTCCTGGGGCAGGCCCATGGGCGCTTCTTGGCCGATGTGGCAAAGGAGACATTCAAGGCCCTATCTTGGATCCAAGAAATGAAGAGATGCACAGGTGTGTAGACTTTAGGGAGGCCAGGCCCGAAGCAGGGACGCCAGGTCATCACCCCCTCCAGCACCCAGCTGCCACCTTGGGAGCAGAGCAGGGCAGTCCCATCGGACACCTGTGCAAGAGAGAGAAGGAGTGGTCACAGCCCAGCCCAGACCCACTGGAACCCCCTCCCCAGGGGAGCAGACACTTGACCGGGGGAAGGGGACTGTGGCAAGCAGGGTTCACACATCGGACAGGAGAGGCTGGGGAGGCCGGATGGATCAGGGGCCTGAGTGCAGGGCCATCTCCCTCCCCAGGGACCTGGTCATAGTCCCCACCCCTCCCACCATCTCTTTCCAGTTAAAATGCACTCTCCCACAGATTCTACCAGTCTCGTCCAATTCTTTCCTCCTTGTGGCCTTTGAGGTTCAGTATTGCACAAAAGTTAGTTTTCAGCAAAATGCTTACAATTATCAAATAATCAGGGGCTCCCAGTAGTTTAAAACCTGGCCATGTCAAAGTCTGCCCCACAGTCAAATAGGACACAATGGGGGAGCCTCCTTAAGGGGCAGGAAGCTCTGGAGTGGCCCTCAGGGGTGCAATTAAGCCCAACCCCTGGGTTTTAGGGAATAGGAGACCCCAGGGTAGGGTGGGAGGGTGACCAGGCCTAACTTTACCAAGTCTAGTGACATCAGAAGGGACATTGGGGGAGGGGGTCTCAGCACCTGCCGGAATCCTTACCACCAGTTCAGGTGGGCCAGTGGAGGGCCTGGTGCTCTGGGAGCCCCTGGGCAGGCTGTCCTTCAGGTCAGCACAGTCGGGTTGGAGGAGAAAGTCATCTGTGTCGGTGCCGACCTGCAGTGGTCTCAGTCGACACTGTGCAGCTCTCAGGGCGGGATGTAGGGATCTGCACAGGGGCGGGGGCAGACCTTCAGCCCAGCTGATATCTGGCTGTGCGGTTGTTAACATTTTGCCAAGTCTGCCCACCCCCTGACACCTTCCTGGGCTTCTGGTCCTCCCAGACACGCCTCGTTCCCACCTTAGTATGGTTCTGTCTTCTGCTAGACTCTCGCACAGGCCCCTCAGGGACACTTCAAGCCTATTGTGATCTGGGACACACTGAGGCCCTTGAGGGGACAGGGAGGGGGTGGGCAAGGTGGTGCCCAGTGTCAGCCATCCAGCAGGGGTGAGTCTGGAAGCTGACTCGGGCATAGCAGGGTGTCAGTGCCACCCTCTGCACTGCATGCCCATGTCCCTGGTGGTGACGAGCAGCTGGCCAAAGCCCCCGCAGGGTCCCGAGCCCCACCTGCCTGTCTGCCTCTCCTAGTCTCAACCACCCTGGCCTTCTGCTCCCATCCTTACCAAAGTCGGGTTCAAACCATTGGGCCCAGCAGAGCTTCCATGGGAGGATGAAATATTGGGGCTGGGTGGCCAGGGTTACAGGCTGCACAGCACTGGTGAGACATGGAGGCCTTGCCAGTCGTGCCAGGTCCAGGCCACCAAACCCAGAGCCCCCTGGTCCTCCTGAGGACAGGGGCAGCTCCTCCACCCGGGACTTGATCTTGCAAGTATCCAGCCACAGTCGATCTGGACCCAGGGTCACGTAGAAGTGGGATTGAGGCCAGCTGTGGAGAGAGGGTAGTGAAGGCTGGGCGAGGCAGGGGAGCCTCCCCCATGGAGCCCCTCTCATTCAGCCTTCCAGCCCCTGTGCCCACCCGGCAAAGCAGCTGGCGCCTCTGAGCACCACTCTCGGGAGATGAGGGCCCCCTCGCAGTGGTAGCGGGTGTCCAGGAAGATGCTGGCCTGCCAAGGCCACATATCTGGGCCCTTCCTACTGGAAGCCTGGGCTGCCTTGGGCCCTGCGCCCTGGGAGAACGAGCTCCACTCCAGGTCCCGGGCCCTGCAAGTCTCCCATCTCTTTCCCTCCAGCCCCTGTGGACCTCTGCAGCCCCAGCTCCCGCCCTGTGTCCCTCCAGCTTGAAATCAGACCATCTGCAGTGGAATCCTGTGTGGCTTGGGGAATGTCACGGCAGGATCAGACTAGTGACCAAGCTGGGAAGGTTGGTTGGGGACTGACACTGCTGAAGGACACCAGGGAAGCTGACCCGCCGAGGGCAGAGGGGCACAGAGGAGGCTGGTCAGGCCCAGCGTGGGCTGGGAGGCTAGGGACAACAGAGGCTCAGGGGCCGGGGGGATCAGGCAGCTGGTCTCTAGGGGAGGCGTGGCCCGCTGGTCTGAGAAGGATCCAGGCCCAATCTGAGGAGGGCCCTGCACTGCCTCCGGGGCCCACTCGCCATCCTGCGTGGCATTCACTGCACCGAGTCTTCGCTGCTACCTGAAACTGCAGCAGCCTCTCTGTCTGCTCCTGGGTTAGATCTGCTCCCCAGTGCCACCTCTGTGCTC